TGAAAATAGTCAGTTATTTCGTCTGCCTTCAGTAATGCGCTGACTAATGTCCCCTAGATCAGCAGCAAAGGTCAAAAACTGCATATAAATGTGCAGTGGTAGTCTATGATAACATTCAAATCAATAAAGCTTTGCTTCATTTGCTTTAAACAATTACCAATAAAACACAATACATTTGATGTGACAGCTTGGACATGGATATGGAACCAAGAGGTGATGAGTTAGCGTCTGTTGACAAGCTAACTGTAACAGTGGGGATGAGCTAAGGGGTCGGAGGAATTGGGCACTATACTGTAGCTAGTCTCTTGTAAGCTTGTAGCAGGACAATAGCCAACAGCCTGGGAATCATAATATGTTGGGTCACACCCAGACTTAGTCATCAACAACTCCTTAGGGTAACAAACTAGCTAGCCTTCACGATATAGCCAACCACAGTTGCATGCATGGTGCACAATGTTACCGACCATGTCGCAGAGAATCACTTTAACATGAAACTCGTGAAAAAACACAAGGAGAAACGGAAAAGGAAGAAAAGAAAAGCACACAGCAAGACACAACTTAGCAGTGAAACTCAACTCAACTCAACTTTATTGTCAAATGTGCTACATGTAACATACAACACAGATGAAATTTCCATCCCCTCAACCCCACGGTGCATAATAAAATATAAAAATATATATACAGGTGCTGGTCATAAAATTAGAATATCATGAAAAAGTTGATTGATTTCAGTAATTCCATTTAAAAAGTGAAACTTGTATATTATATTCATACATTACATACAAACTCATATATTTCAGATGTTTATTTTGTTTAATTTTGATGATTACAAATGACAACAAATGAAAATCTCAAATTCATCATATCAGAAAATTAGAATATTGTGAAAAGGTTCAAACTTGATGGCCCCTGGTGCCACACTCTAATCAGCTAATTAACTCAAACCACCTGCAAAAGCCTTTAAATGGTCTTTCAGTCTAGTTCTATAGGCTACACAATCATGGGGAAGACTGCTGACTTGACAGTTGTCCAAAAGACGACCATCGACACCTTGCACAAGGAGGGCAAGACACAAAAGGTCATCGCTAAAGAGGCTGGCTGTTCACAGAGCTCAGTGTCCAAGCACATTAATAGAGAGGCGAAGGGAAGGAAAAGATGTGGTCGAAAAAAGTGTACAAGCAAGAGAGATAACCGCACCCTGGAGAGGATTGTGAAACAAAACCCCTTCAAAAATGTGGGGGAGATTCACAAAGAGTGGACTGCAGCTGGAGTGAGTGCTTCAAGAACCACCACACACAGACGTATGAAAGACATGGGTTTCTGCTGTCGCATTCCTTGTGTCAAGCCACTCTTGAACCACAGACAGCGTCAGAAGCGTCTTGCCTGGGCTAAAGAGAAACAGGACTGGACTGCTGGTGAGTGGTCCAAAGTCATGTTCTCTGATGAAAGTAAATTTTGCATTTCCTTTGGAAATCAAGGTCCCAGAGTCTGGAGGAAAAGAAGAGAGGCACTTCATCCACGTTGCTTGAAGTCCAGTGTAAAGTTTCCACAGTCAGTGATGGTTTGGGGTGCCATGTCATCTGCTGGTGTTGGTCCATTGTGTTTTCTGAGGTCCAGGGTCAACGCAGCCACATACCAGGAAGTTTTAGAGCACTTCATGCTTCCTGCAGCTGACCAACTTTTTGGAGATGCAGATTTCATTTTCCAACAGGACTTGGCACCTGCACACAGTGCCAAAGCTACCAGTACCTGGTTGAAGGACCATGGTATCCCTGTTCTTAATTGGCCAGCAAACTCTCCTGACCTTAACCCCATAGAAAATCTATGGGGTATTGTGAAGAAGAAGATGCAATACACCAGACCCAACAATTCAGAAGAGCTAAAAGCCACTATTAGAGCAACCTGGGCTATCATAACACCTGAGCAGTGCCACAGACTGATCGACTCCATGCCACGCTGCATTGCTGCAGTAATACAGGCCAAAGGAGGCCCAACTAAATACTGAGTGCTGTACATGCTCATACTTTTCATGTTCATACTTTTCAGTTGGCCAACATTTCTATAAATCCTTTGTTTTTATTGGTCTTCAGTAATATTCTAATTTTCTGATATGATGAATTTGAGATTTTCATTTGTTGTCATTTGTAATCATCAAAATTAAACAAAATAAACATCTGAAATATATGAGTTTGTATGTAATGTATGAATATAATATACAAGTTTCACTTTTTAAATGGAATTACTGAAATCAATCTACTTTTTCATGATATTCTAATTTTATGACCAGCACCTGTATATTAAATGAGCCATAGCACGAAAATAAAAACCTAAGATATAAAATAAATATTAAAATATTAAATATGTAAACAGTAGTGTGAATGGTGCAAATAGTGCATAGAGTAGCAGTCCTGGGGAGAGTAGTGGAAAATAGTAGAGGATGGGGATATTGGGGGGTCAGGGGGGGGCGAAGGGGGGCAGGGCAGGGAGGGAATTGAGCATCCTCACTGCCTGATGGAAGAAGCTGTCTCTGAGCCTACTGGTTCTGGCCCGGAGACTCTTCAGCCTCCTCCCGGACGGCAGCAAGGTGAAGACATTGTGGGCGGGGTGGGTGGGGTCACCTGCGATCCTGGTGGCTCTGCCGGTGAGGCGGGAGTGATAAATGTCCAATAGAGAGGGGAGGGGGACACCGAGGATCTTCCCAGCTGCTTTCATGGTGCGCTGCAGTGTCTTGCGGTAGGCTGCAGTGCAGGCTCCGTACCACACGGTGATGCTGCTGGTCAGGATGCTCTCGATGGTGCCCTTGTAGAAGGAGTGCAGGATGGGGGACGGGGCTCTTGCTCTCCTCAGTTTCCGCAGGAAGTAGAGTCTCTGTTGGGCTTTCTTTCCCAGGGACGCGGTGTTGGTGTCCCAGGACAGGTCTTGAGAGATGTGGACACCCAGGAACTTGGTGCTGCTCACCTGCTCCACTTCAGCACCGTTGATGATCAGGGGAGCGTGCTGGGCAGGCCTTCTCCTGAAGTCCACCACAATCTCCTTTGTCTTCTCTACGTTCAGATGGAGATGGTTTTCCTGGCACCACGTGGCCAGGCGGCTCACCTCACTCCTGTAGTTTGTCTCATTGTTGTTGTTGATGAGACCCACCACAGTTGTTTCGTCTGCGAATTTGATGAAGATGTTGGAGCTGAGTGTTGGAGTGCAGTCGTGGGTCAGCAGAGTGAAGAGGAGGGGGCTCAGCACACATCCTTGGGGGGCCCCCGTGTTCAGTGTGATGGTGCTGGAGGTGTTGCTGCCGACCCGGACAGCCTGTGGTCTCCCCGTCAGGAAGTCCAGCAGCCAGTTGCAGAGGGAGGTGTTGAGTCCCAGCTGGACCAGTTTGCCGATGAGCTGCTGGGGGACGATGGTATTGAATGCTGAGCTGAAATCGATAAACAGCATTCTGACATGTGAGTCCCTGGTCTCCAGGTGGGTGAGGGCTGAGTGGAGGGCGGTGGAGATGGCGTCATCGGTCGAGCGGTTGGACCGATATGCAAACTGGTAGGGGTCCAGATTGGGGGGGAGGGCAGACTTGATGTGTTGCATGACTAGCCGCTCGAAGCACTTCATGATGATGGGGGTGAGTGCGACAGGGCGATAGTCGTTGTGGCAGGTGGGGGGCGACTTTTTCGGTACCGGGATGATGGTGGTGGCTTTGAGGCACGTCGGGACGACAGCTTGTCTCAGCGAGATGTTAAAGATGTCAGTGAAGACATCCGTGAGCTCTGCAGCACAGTCTCTGAGGACGCGACCAGGAATCCCGTCGGGACCCGGGGCTTTCCTGGCATTGATCCTCCTGAGGGTTCTCCTCACGCAGTCCGAAGAAAGTGACAGCACCTGGTCGCCGGGGTGCGGAGGGATCCTTCGTGCTGGGGTGCTGTTGTCTACCTCAAAGCGAGCGAAGAAGTCGTTCAGCTGGTTCAGCAGGGAGGGGGAGTTGTCACAGGTCTGCGGTGGGGGCTTGTAGTCCGTGATGGTCTTGATGCCCCGCCACAGGTTTCTGGAGTCTCTGCTGTCCCTGAAGTGGTCGGCGATCCTCCTGGAGTGCTGCCTCTTGGCCTCTCTGATCCCCCGTGACAGGTTGGCCCTGGCTGTCCTCAGGCCTGCCTCGTCCCCAGCCCTGAAGGCAGCGTTCCGGGCCTTCAGGAGCCTGTGAACGTCCCCTGTCAACCAGGGTTTCTGGTTAGCCCGGATGGAGATGATTCTGGAGACCGTCACGTCGTCCATGCACTTCCACATATACGCTGTGACGGTCTCTGTGTACTCCTGGAGGTCTACAATGTCATTGTAGAAAGCGGTGGCTCCAACATTAAAACACAAAAATCTCATATTTGTTATGTCTCTCAATCCGAAAACAATGACATCAGCAAAAAAGCCTTAAGGGGCTTTGACTGGAGTCGATGGAAGAGAACATTTACTTTCTGCGATAGGGTGTAAACACCACTGTCCCAGGATATGACATCAGAGTACAGTAGAGTACCTTACAGTAAGACGTAGTTCAATACCACATCAATAATATAGCAAACAATACAGTGTAGATTACAAGCTGATCACATTTGTTTGTTTCAGCAAATATCTCATGTATGAGCTGTGTGAGTGTGACAATGAGAAAAAAAAAATAAAAATTGATATATATATATATATATATATATATATATATATATATATATATATATATATATATATATATATATATATATATATATATATAGAGAGAGAGAGAGAGAGAGAGAAAAAAATAATAATATAGCCTTCCTTTATTTACTCTGTAATGGCAACCTCCATGGCTAAGAAAATAGCAAAGGATAAATAATTTTTGGAGTAATTGTAATCTTACGTATCAGCAAATGTTAAAAGTTACTAGATAAATAACATATTTTAAACTTGTCATGAATCCCTGTAATGCTGAAGGGGATCATAGAAAGCATCTCCAGGAAAAGAAGACAATCACGGAAAAAAAAAGTCACCTCATGCATCTGCAGGCTGGGGTTTGGGACCCTCATCTTGGCTTCTAGAGGGTTGGAGGAATTAGTTGTGTAGTTTTTCAAACTGCGACTTTCCCTCAGGTGCACTTGGAGCTTCTCTCTGCGCCTCCTAAAAGAGAAAAAGAACAAAAAACAAGTATAGAAAAATTGTGCCTTCCAAAAAATTAAGGGTTTCATCAAATAATAAACCTAACAGCAAATGTCGCAGTTGTTTTTTGTTTTTAGTTAATATTTCAGTCTCGCCACCCGCGACCGCACTTTGGGAAAACCTGGATTAGACCAAGAAAAATAATGATACAACACAGGCACAAAGACACAGGTAGCACAGCGCTCAAACATTTCAACTCCAGCTTAAGCCTGGTTTATGCTCAGAAACCAGGTCATCTGCGTTCAGTTAACGCAATGCAGGCGTGAGATAAGGTGCAGCAGAGAATGCGGAAGATAGCATTGCAGGGAGGAGAGAAAGGACCTGGGACACTATCCCAGGAATCGTGCAGGACGCTAGTTTGTAGCTCTGTGTGATGGTCTGTTGGTTTGCACCCGAAGCCAATAAGCAGCGCTACGGCCAGCCTCTTTTGGAAACTGTCATTGGTGAACTGTGTGTCATCCGGCGTTGGATGAGGGGTTGTAGACGGCGAACAAGCTTGTCAAAGCGACACACGGACACCCACAATCCTAGCTAGTTCCTGATTGTCCCTTTTGCGTTGTGGCTTTGAATAACATAGCGCAGACCATGCTTCAAAATTGGGCATAAATCAAAACTATCTGCGTCATACCCGCAACAAGCTCACTGAGACACACTGCTGTGGAAGGATACACAGCACTTAACTTTGAATCTTTGAAGATCGGGCCCTTAATTTTTAAATTTTACAGGTAAAAGGTTGCTTGCAATGTCTGTTATAAAGACAAATCTGAGGCTCACATTTGTTGTGTTTTAAAATGAATGTGACTTAAAGGATTACACTTTTCCTTACATTTGAATCCCCTTAGACTCTAAACAAAGGAGTCAGATGAGAATTGTGTTTCCAACTGGAAATATATTCTTGTTAGAGTGGCACAGGAAGAAAATGTGCTTCCCAAGAAACCCTCTGTGGAGAGCAGACTGCTCTTCAATATTTTCTCCCCCAGCAACAATTAAAAGAAAAGGAGAATGAGTGTTTGAGTTTTTATGATGCAACTTGACTTTGGTTAATAATTAATGCGGAGATGTAATGAATCAGGTCTGTGTCTCAGAATTTATTCAAATAAATTGGTTCAGTCAGAATCCCCTTTGACGTTACAGATGAATACACTAAAAGACTAAAGCAACTGACTGACAAACTGATTTTTTGACCCAAACCTTTCGCAGAAGCAGAGCTGACCTCTCAATAAAAGGTCATGAGGTAATCATGTAAGTAAAGGTGGAATAATTAGACCTCATTTATAGGGGGTGCAATCTGATTTATTCTATTCATCTGAAAAAAAAAAGGTTTGTCGTTTTTGTTGCTCTGACCATTGCACTTTAAAAGCTCTTAATTATTGTGACACGACATGTTCGTTCTTGTGCAATTACACTGTCCTGGAGGAAAAAGCACAAAACCCGTATATCATGACTTCATTATGTTGTGCCAGAGGTATGCTCTCATTATCAGATTCAGCCGATAAAGCCTTTACTGCTGCTGTCTGGGAGATTCTCTGCCGGATGACAGCGGTGTAATGAAGTGTTTGCAAACAGCCTCATGGTAAGCTCCTGTGCTCACCACCTCTGTGGCACTTTAATTATATTATGTCAGATGAAGGCTGAAACATATGGTATCTACTAATGTACTTTTGGAAAAGTTTTCACTAAAACAGACATGCAGCCTTTCTAAAGCTTTGTCTAACTTAATTGAGTGTTTCAACATGTAAACAAAACTTTCTGACAGATTTTTCATTTAGATCCTATTGGATTTTAACTTTATTGCCATTGCATATCACAAGTACAAGGCAACTAAATGCAGGCCACATCCATCAAGGAGTGCTGCAAGTGGTACGGGGAAAAAATAATACATAGATAATTAAAAAGCGGTGCATTTATTTAGTCTTCCCCATACAAAAAATACCATAAATCTTTACACGTGCTTCCCATTCTCCACATAAAAATCCTATGAATATGACATTATCATCTTGCCCATGTGATTAATGGCTAAACTCAATGGGTTTCAATGTTATTTCGATGTTTAACCTTTAAATCCCATGAATGTTGCATATTCCTTTATTCCAGACAAAAATCACATTAATATCATGTTCCTCATCTTCAACATGATATCCCCATCCTCCACATTAAAATCCCATGAAGATCACATTACTCTCGTCTTTTACATTAGATTCCCACTTTATACATGAAAATCCAATGATTTTCACATGTGATTCCCTTCTTTCACATGACCCCATTCTTCAAAATAAAAATCCCATTAATTTCACGAGTGATTCCAATCATGTGTGCTTTGAGCATGAAACAATGATTTGCTTGTGCACATGTCGATTTCGCATGTGTAATTCAGCCATCTGAACCACTTCCTTAAAGAGTGCTCAGGGGAAAAAGGTAGAGTAAATGGCAATGAACAGTGGGGAATATTTTAAATACAGTTTAATTTTGATGTTAGATAATATAATAATACAATATAATATATTTAATATAATATGAATATGCGAAAAGTTTCATCTGAAATGAAAGAAATTAGTTAATTTTATTGGTTAGCGAGTCAGATATATGATGGTTAATATTTGTTTTATTGAAAGGTTTTATCTGTTCTTTTAGCACGTCTTCCAATATTTCTGCACTATTGGGACTACAAATCTGATATCTGCAAGGACAGTACTGCTGCTGAAGCTCTTGTAATAGCACACAGAACTCGGCATCCCTCTTTGCCTGCTTTCTGAGTCAACCGTCATTAGCAACTAGGCGACGAGTGATATGAGGGTGGAGAAGACTGGACCTCTTTGCATCTGTAGCCAAACTCTACATTTTCACAGCCATCAAAGCTCCAGAACGCTTATCATTGTGGACCTGGTTTAAAGTTTAGGGTGGCTTAACCTGTAACACAACTCAAATCTTTGATATCTTTGTGTGGTAAATTTTCTATAAATCTTGTATCACCTAGAGCAGGGGTCTTCAAATTTTAAAATCCAAGGAGGCATCTGGCCTGAGAACAGCTAAATAAAAGTTGTTTAGGGCCCTAAAACACAACATGACCTGTTGATAAAACACCACTAATGATTCTGTTAAGTATCTAATCGCTATAGGACTTATTTTGCCATTTTAAGCTACAAACAATTTTAGTTTTTTAATGGAAGTTATGTTAGTATTTGTGGAGGATGATGTAAAAAATGACCTAAAACCCTTATTTCTTGTACTCTGAATGTCATTGTACTGTATTGTGAAAAATAAACTCATATATTCTTTGAAAAACCTGCTATATAAGAGAATTTGTAATGTACAATATCAAAACTATCAGTTAGGTTTTTATGATATTTAGCCACCATTAGGAGCCATTGTAGAAAGTTTGAAGAGTCAATAGTGGTTCAAGAGCAGCAGGTTGCTTCACGAAGCAGGTTTAGCAACAACTCTACGTTTTCTGTACCTGAAAACAGGGAAACTCTGACTTTTCCGTTTCACAAAGAGATTTTCCTCAACCTCTGTTTCAGTCTCCCCAAAGCTAATCTGGTCAGCTGCGGGTTTTCTTCAGTAAACTCAGAGTTTCCTCTGTCTCTGCTCTCCTTACAGCTAATCACACTGTTTTATTTCCTGATTTAGTCAGATTCTTGTTGTAGTTTTGTGCATAAAAAAAAATATATATACATATACATATATACATAATTCACTAGATCCGTTAAAAATAAACACTGCGTGTCCATTTGACGAGGATCTTATTAAATAATGATCGGCACTTTTTCACAGAGAATTAAACATTTTAGGGAGAGGATTCTACAACTCAGTTGACAGGATAGGAGATTACTTGTTTTGGGGTTTTTTAATATGACGAGTTACGGATAATTTTATTTTATTGATTTATATTTACAGTACATGAAGAACTATTATTTTCAGATTACACAATAATAGATTCATTAATTCCATGGGGGAAAATTACAGATTAGGATTCCCTCTGTGGTAACAACCTGATGAGCCTACTGGCACAATCTGAAGCCATTCTATGGACCTGATAGCCACTAATAAAGACCATTTATTGGGATAATAACATCTGAAGCGCAGCTGCAAAAAGCCACTTAGTATTTACTGTGTAAAAGAAGATTGAATTAACATGAGGAGGAACGCATGAGACGATACATAGGTTCTATATATTAGAACAACGTTTTTAGACTTCATTTTCACCTAAATAGATTAATTTTCACTTAAATAGATACATTGATCTACTAACATCTAAGAAATAATCGGGTATTACTATCGCGGTCACAGCAGGCTATGGCAAGCCATTATATATACTAGTTTTACTGAATATTCCTGATATCTGAACACTTTTTCTTTCTCTAAATGACCATTTCAAACAAAATGACATTCTCTACATCTAGAATAAACATTATAGATGTGTGAAAAATTAATTTCAGATCTCTATATTACTGGACAGGATTTCTATTACTTTAACTATGAAAAAATGTATTTCAAATATAAATACATATTCAGTCAAGCTAATAAATTTTTAAAATACGTAAACATTTCTAGATATTAAGAACTTAATTCTTACTAGTATATTTCTCTGTTTTTTACTTTCTAAAGATTTGTTTCTGCCACAAAAATGTAATTTAGAAAATATATTATTACTGTTGGGTCTAGGAGTATGATTTTTATTAGGGAGAATATTATTTTAGTGATCTACAAACGGAACAACAGAGAGGAGAGTTTAATAAATGTCAAAACAGCAAGTCATAGACCACTTCATATAAATATATGCATTAACTGGAGCAGCACTGTCTTCCTCTCCTTTGAAGCTGTAGCTTTGTTCTTCTGTCTTTTAAACACATTCTCATTTTTATTTTTATTTTAATGAACTGGAACTGGAAATAAATTTTCTTAGGACTGCCTTTAATCAAAATCTTTCTTCCATAATGGGAGTTTGTTGACATTATTTGTCT